AGATTTCAGATTGTGAGCTCACAGATTAGCTGTGTGACCTTGAGCAACTTACTCATCCAGGGCAACAGCAGTGCTCCTGGTGCACTTGGCAGAACTTTGGCAAATGGCTGCCACCCCCATGCTGGCCTCAGTGTGGGTTTTGGCTAGAAGCCTTTTCAGGAGTCTTCAGATTCGGTCAAATTCAGAGTGCTGCTTCTATTCCCCATGGCTTGCATTGGGAGGTGGCTCTATTTGCTCACATAGATCTGCCCTTCTTTGCAGAAGGCAGAAGACACAAAAAGAGTGTGTGGTCCAGAGCCTTTCTCACACCCTTCAGCCTTTCTTAGGTACCCTGTTTCTTACTTGCCTTGTTTTGTAAGTTCATGATGGACAGGAGGCAAAGGGACCTGATGACTAGGCAATACCTTCCACAACATGTTTCTAGTCTCCTGCTTTGTCCAGCTAGTCCCTATTTTTCCCCAGGACCTCCCCATCATCTTGGGTGAAACATTTCATATGCAAACTGTAACATTCTATCCCAGGCCCTCAAACCTTGCAGACATTTCGCAATGTGAAGTGTGTCTAGTCTCTTCCTAAGTATCCCCAAAGTCTCAACAGTTTCAATATCATTTGAAAGTCCAAGTTCAAAGTCTCCTGCAACAATTAGCTATAAGTCCATATAAAATAAAATTTAAAACAAAAACAAACTAGCTATACCCTTTCAACATACAAGGGTACAGGTTAGAAAGGCACAGGTAAACATTAAATGTAGGAGGTTGGTCCTACAGTGCTCTGTATTCAGATGCTAAATACTGGCCTGCAAGATCTAGTTGCCCTCAACAGGGAGATTTACAAGTACAGCAATGATGCTATAACCTTGCTCCCCAAGTTAACTGGTCAATAAAAGGCTAAAGCCCCTGCTTGGGCAGTAGATAGAGGTAGATAAATTTTCAGGTACCTGTCTGGGGGTTGCATGTAGAGAGGAAAAGAAGGAAGGGCAAGAAGGGAGGAGTTGCCATGAAAGGAGATGGACAGGGAGCAAGGGGCCAGGAGAAACATCAAGAAACAGGGGACATATGGCTAGGATGTAATTAGAATAGCTCCAAAACATCTGCAATCTAAGCTTACAGTCTGTAAATAAAATACCTGAATTGTATGTCTTTTATATGGGCTGGCTAGAATAATTAATTCATTTTACAATTAGGGAAGGTTCTGGCAAAGCAACACCAAAGCCCAGCAGGGTAGATACAGAATTCTGTAGTTTCATGCCCAGTATATGGAGCTGCATGAATTTCATGGAGCTTGCCCAACCCTCCTCCCTGTAAGGCAAGGCTTTGATGCTTGAATTTTCTCATTGCTTTGGGTTTGCCTTAGCAGGCATCCCAGGGCCTTCCCATCTGCCTGTGGTCCAATCATGCATCAGCTTCATCCTCACAGATTTACACTGCACTGTTTTGGAATGCCTGCAGGGCACTGCCAGACTTCCTCAGAAATCTGACTGACAGACTTTCTGAATCTGTGAACTACAACAAATCATTCTGCTCTTACATTTTTTTCAGCATGTATTTTGGCTACAATTAGACAAAAGTAGCTAATATCTAACCCAAGAATTGAACCAGGAGTTGTTATGTAATTTGTCTGCAAGAAATATATTCTGTGTTAACAAATATCGGATTTACAGATAAATTTTTGAGATTAATCTTATTATCATTTGGAAGTTTCTTCCAGTTGGAATGAGATTTTTTTGGAAATTGTTCTTAGCTTTTGGTGGAATAAAACTAATCCCGTCCATTACGGTTTGTTATTTTGATAAGTAGTAATTAACAAGTTAATGATGGAAGTCTTGACTAAAAAATAATTCCTGCATCTCAGGTAGATCAAAATGGAAGATTTCTTCTAGTAGACCTTCTTGCCCAATGTCCACTCCACCATTCCAGCTCTGGACTCCACTACCCATCTATACCTGCTTCTATTGGTCCCGCCCACACAGGCTGATGAACATTCCAGCCTTCACGGCCACCAACTTTGTGTAATTGGTTCACCTTATTCTCACACACTCTGTTTACATTCTTGTCAAGGTCAACCATTTCTCCTTCCCCTCATTCACCATATGGCTTGTCAGTCCCATCTGTCTCTTTCCTACACTTGCCTTTGAAGAAAATTTCAGAACAGTGGCTTCATTCTCCTTGAGCAAGCCCTGCCTTATTATTCTGAGAAGAGAAAGAAGGGAGACAGTGGGGGTATTTTCTAGTGTCTCTCTGCTGCCTCTTACTCTTTTCAATGTGAATGGGAGTGATTTTGTATTTAATAAAGGTTCCCTAACCAAGGGGTTATCTTTTTGAACAAATAGCACAAAGGCTCTCATGGCTGTCTTTTTCTTTTTCAATCCTTATTTGCTGATGCCGAAATATAGGTAGGCGAATAGGTCACAGACTCCATGAGGGCAGGCAACCCATACCTTGCTTAACAATCGTGTCCCATGAAAACAAGACTAATATTTTGGGCAGAGTAGAGGTATAATAAGTAATAACTTAAAAATGTGCACAAGGCTGGAGGTGCACAAGGCTTGGTGGTTAAGAGCACTCACTGTCTGTCTGTCCAGAGGATTCAGGTTTGACTCTCAAAAGACAGGTCACAATTGTCTGTAACTCTAGTTCCAGGGCATCTGATGCCCATTTCCGGGATTCTTGGGTATTACATGAACCTCAATGAACAAACATACATGCAGGCAAAACTTCCACATGGAATGATAAAGAGAAACCTTTCTAATAAAAAGAGGAGCATCCAGCTCTGAGGGGCATGGCCTAACAGTACGTGTCAGCCAGCTTTCTATGACTAACAAAATACTTCCACTTTAAAGGAGGCTAGGTTTCTTTTGACTCACAGAGTTATGAGGGTTCTGTCTGCAGTCAAGTAGCCCCCTTTCCTTTGGGCCTGTGGCAGGAGCCCATGGTGGGAAGTCCATTCAAAGTGTAGCCTGGAATGAAAATCAGAGAAGGTATGGGTTCCCACTATTTTTCTGGAGAGCAGGTGTCTTAGTTAGGGTTTTACTGCTGTGAACAGACCCCATGACCAAGGCAACTCTTATAAGGACAACATTTAATTGGGGCTGGCTTACAGGTTCAGAGGTTCAGTCCATTATCATCAAGATGGGAACATGGTAGCATCCAGGCAGGCATGATGTAGGAGGAGCTGAGAGTTCTACATCTTGTTCCAAAGGCAAACAGGAGAAGACTGGCTTCCTGGCAGCTAGGATAAGGGTCAAGAGCAGTTCTACACGAGGTGGGATTTTTTTTTTCAGGGTAAAAGGAAAGATGGAGGGAGAATCTGAAAATTTGTGCAAAAGAATGAGTTATATGACAAAACATGGAATTTATGCTAGGAAAAATAGTAGGTGTGAAAAAGGGTGGTGGATTGGACAATAGGAAGAATTTGTCAAGGACCAAGAGGTATTAGGAGATCCAGATAAGATGCCAGGATCTAGGAAAGAGGGCTGCTAAAATCGACACCACAGAGAACACACACTTATTTGCTACTGAGGTCAAGGACACTACCCTGGAAATGGATGGCTGGGCACATTAGCTTCCTGTTATTGTTACAAACATTCCAGATCATTTATTTATGTGAGAAAACATGTTTTCTTCATGGTTTCAGTTCATGGTGACTTCTCCCCCTTGCTTTTCAGCTTAGGAAGCAAGGCAGTACAACATGGTTAGAGCAAAAGCAGCCCGTCCTACAGAAGCCGAGGGGGGAAAGATGGAAGAGGAGTTGGGGTTTCTACATACCCTTCAAGGACAGAAACAGCCTTCCATGACTTACTTATTTTACTTCCACCAGGCCTCACCATCTAAAGGTTCCATCTGCTCTAACAGGGCTAGATATTGGTTTCCAGACAATTCCAGCAACCTAGCAA